TTTTTTTTATTTTTTTGGTTTTTTTGCCGGGCTTTTTTTTTAAACGCCCGTAACAAACTTGCCGGAAATACGTTATATATCCGGTAATTTACCGAAAGCTTTAACCAAAACGCCAAACCGGCTAACCCAACCATTTTTAAAATTTAAAAAGGTCCCAACCATTTATTTAATAGCTTTTTCGACGGCCTTTTTATTTTAATGTTTGCCGTATTTAGCAATACCCAATCGCTTACCCCGAAAAGCACCGGGGTTTTGCTTTTATTATAATACTTTTTATACATATTATTCGCTTTTTTTAACAATTTTTTAGCTTGTTTCCTAACTATTTCCAAAGCCCCCGCTTTAATTTTAACCGTTGCCAAAGGTTTTTTTTTAATTACCCAAAGGTTATAAAGCTTTCGTAAGTAAAACCCTATTAGCAAAAACGCCGGGGTTTTTTTGCAACCCCAAATGCACGTTCGTATTATATACTTACATTGCCAAATGCAATAACAACGCCCAATCGTTTTGCCTTTCGCAGTAAAAGCACCGGAAATAATGCTTTATTGCTTGGTTCGTCCGTTCCGTTTGCCCGTCGGTTTAAAAATAATATGCTATCGATAGCCTTTTTGCAACTTTTAAATGTTTGGCAAAAATTGTTTAAAACCCGTTTGTAAATAGCTTATTCCGGTTCGATACAATTTTTTTTAGCGTTTCCAATAGCCCCCAAACGTATGCAAATAAAAAGCTCCCCAATTTTTTATTAATTAATTTTGTAAACGTTAAAATAAAAAAGTTATATTTGGTAAATCGGTTAACCATTATTAATATTGCGTTGCGCTTTTTACCGGCTCCATCCATTAACGTTAGGAACTTTTTAATAAAATCTATCGATAGCTTTTGTCCCGGGCGGTTTGGTACGGGCAAAAATGCTAGCAACCCGTAAAATGCTTATATCTTCGGCTTCGTTTGCTGGCATATTTAATACGTTCGTACGTATTTGCGTACGTTTTTAGCTATACCCGGCCATTTAAACTGCCGTTTAAATTTTTTTAAAATTTTAGCCATGCTTTTGTAACCCCCCGTCGGGTTATCGTATTGTTTTTAAAGCATTGCCCGTTGCAACGGCGCTAAATTTGGGACTTAAACTTTTTTTTTATGCTTAAATAAACCGTTATTAATTTTTTAAACGTTAAACTTGCTTTTTTAAATGCCGCTTTAAACGAAATCGTTTTTTGCTTATGCTTTAAAAATGCGCTTTAATATCGTTTTAATGTTTTTTTTAATAATAATCGTCCTTACGTAAGTTGCTTTTCGGAATTTGGCCAACAAATCGTTTTGGAATTCTTTTTTTGCTTTATTGGCCTTCCCGTCCACGGGTATATTTTAAAAACGTTTTAACAAGCCATTCGCGGGGTTCCGGTATTTTAGCTTCCATTTAATTGTAAAATCGTACTTTGTTAAATTTTTAAACCATTTTGCTTAACGCTTTATTACTTTTTCTTTTATTAAAATATGGGTATAATTTAAATAGTTAGTAATTATTTTAACAATTTTTTGTAAGTAAGCTAAATAATACCGTTACTTTTCGAAAGCTTTTACGATTGTTAACAATTTTAAATTAAAAATCGCATAACGCAGCTTTTTTTATCGCAGCTTTTTTAATATATAAATTACCGGGTATTACCGGCCGTTTTATAATTGCAATAGCACCGCTTTTATCGCAAAAGCCAAAGCGTTGGTCCGTACGCATAGCAATTTTAAAAGGTTAAAATGTATTAATACCAAAACTTTCGTAAATAGCAGCTTTAATTTGCAAAAAACCTTTTTCGCAATATTTTTTAAATAAAATACGGTATTTTTGTTAAAAAAATCCGTTAAAAGCACAATAATTTTCGCGTAACCTTTTACAAATTTCCGATAATACCCCGTAAAGCCCAAAAATACTTAAATGTTTTTAACGCTTTCCGGTATTTTTTATTTTAAAATTGCAATAATTTTATCCGGCAAAATTTCGACTTTAAATTTGGTTATTTTAAACTTTAAAAAATCGATACTATCCGTTTCGAATTCGCATTTGGCCGGGCTAACGTAAAGTTTAAACCGTTTAAATCGTTTTAGCACCGTTTTTATTGCTTCGCGGTGCTTTTCCTATATTTTCGAAAAAATAAAAATGTCGTTTAAATATACAATGCAATTATTATTAATTAATTTTTTAAACGCTATATTAATAAAGTTTTAAAACGTTGCTAAAACGTTAGCCAAACCGAAAAGCATTATTAAATATTTGTAATGTCCATATTTGCAATAAAAAGCAATTTTCCATTTATTTCTTTATCGAATCCGTATTTTATAATAAACGTTTTTTAAATTTAGCTTAATAAAATACTAATTTTTAAATACCCGGTTAAATATTTCGTAAATTAATGGAAATGCTAGCCGGTTTTTTTTAATAACCTTATTAAAACCCCAATAATCGATACAAAAGCGGAACTTTCCGTCCTTTTTTAAAACGAATAAAATCCCGGCGCCGGCGGGGTTGGTTAAATGCCAAATCCAACCTTTCGCTATAATTTCGTCGAAATACCCCCGAAAGGTTTTTAATTCCTTTTCGGATAAGGGATAAATGCTTCCGTAAAGCGGTATCGTTCCTTTTTCCAATTCGATCGCGTAATTCCAACCTGTATGTTTTAGCAAAAGGTCCAATTTATAAAATTGCGCATATTTTGCAATTATCCCTTTAATTTATTCCGGAAAAGTTCTTAGCTTTTCCCCGGGGTTTTTCGGGGTTTTCGAGCGTGCAACCGTTAGTACGGCTATCGTTTGTCCCGATTAAATTAATTTTTTAGCTATTTCCAACAAAATCATTTTAACCTTTTTAATGGTTACCGAAAACCTTTACTTTATATTTTTAAACCGGATTTTAATATCTTTTTGTTAAAACCAAAATATGCTTAACGTAATATCGTACCCGGCCCGGGGCACCATTACGTAAAACATTATTAACTTTCGGGTTACTTTTTAGCTATCCGTTACCCGAATTTTGTATTTTTTTACCTTTAGCGTAAGCATGCGTTTTTTGGTATCGAATTACGCCAAATAGCCTTCGTTTAGCACCGGCGTTTTTTTTGCTTCCATTAAAAAACGGTTATGCAATAAATTAACGTTGCTCCCATTATTAACCAACGCTTTTAACTTTACCCGGCAACCGTTAATCCGTAAATACATTTCGGTTTTTTAATGCGTTTTAACCGCCGGGGCGCATTTTTA